TTTTTTTTTGTGTGTGAGAGAGAGAAGGGGGCGGACTGTGCCAAGCTGTCCGTTATGTGACTCTGACACGTGCTACTCCGTTTCTTCTTTGCGTTTTGCCTTCCCGGAAATGCTCCAAGATGCTCTCATGTCAATGCTACTCCCGACAACTCCCCCACGCGAAGAGCAACTGCGAAGCAGATTGAATGCTGCTGATTGTTTCATCATTCATACAATGCAAAACCCCTGCTTCTTAACATCAGTGGCACTCCTATTGTTGTTGGAGGCGACTTCCAACTTCCCCGGGCCAATCATCAATGACATCATCCGAGCCCACCAAAGTGAGACTCACCTACACACGCATGCAGTTGCGCACATAGCGAAAAAACTCAACAAGTAAGCACGGGGCATGCATACATGCAAGATGGGTTGATCACAAACATATCCAGAGGACACAGCAAACAAAGTCTTAATCTGAATCTTTAGCTGCAAAAACATCAACGGGACAATGGACAGGATTTTCTCAGAAAAGTGGAGGAGTTCTTGCACATCACAAAACAAAAACGATGCTGCGAAGGTAATGGCTCCCCAAACGAAACACTCAAAGATAAAGGGGAAAAAAGGCTCGGCGGAATATGATAGGGGAGTTCCTTATGCTTTTTCTTTCTTTTGTGCTTTTTTTCCTTTTCTGTTTTTGCGGGCGAAGCCGCAACGGGTCATCTAGTCAAGATGTATCGGCCCTGCTTTGTGTGTATGTGCCCAGGCGCAACTGCCAAGGCCTGGGCCAACTGTTCGACGAATATTCAGGCTCGCCTTCACTGCATTACACTTTATCGCCGCCAAAAGGTCGAGGAAGTGAGTGATTCCTATGTGGCCTTGTTCTGTCCTTCCCCTTCTAAGGATACTTGCTTGTACTGTGAGTTTACTTATAGCCTAGGTTGTTTTTTTCTGCCCGGCCAGGCAACCGGCCAGGTCGCCCGGGGTACCCAGGCAAGAGAAAAAGTGTGGTCTCTATTTGTTTGTTTCGTTTTCAGGTGGCGGGGATCTTCCGCGCATTCCCAGAGGAACCCAACTCCGGGCTCTTTTCTTTTCTTGAGTGTTGGCTGTCAAGGAAGGGTAAGGGGGGTATAAATTGACCCTTAAAGGGGCTAAAGGGGTTTAAGCGGGGGTTGCCTTACTCTGATTCTGTTATTTTCTTTTATATCTTTGATTCAGTGAGGAATTCAGATGTGACCTACAGCCAAAAGTCGTTTGCATTGCAGTTGCACACAACATATGTTTGTTTTTTTTCTGTTGTTTTCTAGGCTTCCAGAGTGGCCCGGGACCACTTGCCCGGCCGGGCCAAAACAATTTGGCAAAGAATTTCGATGTGACCCTGAGGCAAAAGTTGCTCAGTTTATTTTTCTGGATAACAATCATTTCAGGGTTTTTTTTTTTTTGTAGACACCCAAATTGACGAACTCGAGATGGGGACCACCGCCTGTCGTGAAAGGGGGT